TGTCACCACGAGGTCTGTGCCCCCCCTCAAAAGGGGGGAAATAATCAAGTATTGGGTTTCTCCTCTGTGTTTGGCAGCCAGGAGGGGGCTGAGGCTGAGCAGAGGGACCCGTGGTCCTGGTCCCTGCTGCTCTTCTCCTGCCAGAGCCTCTGATAATGTCATCTGACTGCATTTGTCCTCCATCCTCCACTTTCATTGTTGTGAGGAATTAACTGACTGCAGCCAGAGAGAGAGATTTGTTTTGCTTTGTTTTGGTCTTTTTTTTTTTTTCCATTCAGACCATTCAATTTTGATCCCAAGGAGGTAGGAGGCCAATAACTGCCTGAAAATCAATCCAGGCTTTCCATGACTGATGGAATGGAAAATATCTCGAGTGTTTGCTGAGGATTTGCAGGCAGCAAAACAAAACAAAAGGCACAGAGCTTGGCTGCATGTAATTCCCTCCTGCATGCAGCATCCTTCATCAAAGGATAAAGGCTCCAGCAAGGGCTATATTGGGGCAGCTATTTTGGGAGCTCTGTAGCTAAGAGAGGACAAGGGATGCTCTGGAGAAGCCACCCCTGGGTGGCTTCTTTGAAGGTGACTTGATTTATTGGGCTCTTTTCCTCCATCAGCCAACTGGTTAGCACTGGTTCCCCAATTCAACACCTCCATATTTTACAGTTATTAAGCAAAACTTCCCCTATATCCCCAGTAAAACCCTGATTGGAGGTGAGATGGGAAGGCTTTACCACATCACATGTTGTTTTGCTCGAGAGAGGGGACAGAATTGTCCCCTTTGGGCTGTGTTTGCTGTGTCCCCTGGCACTGACATCATTTACAGCTGAAGCTGGTTGTTCAGATGCTAAAGATCCTCCATGTCCTCAGAGAGTTTTGTCTCAAACCCCTCTTTTTAATATTTTTTCACCCATGCCTTTTTCTGCAGTGTATTTTTGTCATGCAAATAGACTGTAAACTGTAGCTGAAGCTTCACCAGCGTCTCTGTGTGTCTAATACATAAACCTACTGGGAATTTTATTAGGAGCACACCATTAAGTGAATTTTATTGGCTGCTCAGCAGAGTGGGAAAGTGGAGATGGGGAAAGATGGGCAGTTTATCATCCCCATCCTCTGTCCCCAAGCCCCAGGAGGTGTTTTGTGGCTCACGTGGCCGTTTGTTCGAGTCATGAAACCATGGAACACAACTGGGGCAAACTGTGAGTCCCACAGGAGCAGCCTGGCACGAGGCAGCAGGTGGATGCTGAGTGCTGGGGTTGATGTGCATTGGCAGCAGGAGGTTGCTCAAAGCCAGCTGGTGTGATGAGACGTTGTTCATCCGTCCACCTCCACCTCTCCAAAGCATGGAATGCTCTGGGGTTCTGCCACCCTGCAGCCCCAGCGTGGTGACGTGGGGTTGTGCTGGGCTTCTGTCTAGAAGCTGAGCACAACACGCTGGTGTATTGAAGTTTTAATAACAGATAATGAAACGGGAGCAGCAGAGAGACAATTTGGTCTTGGATTTGTTTTTTTTTTTTCCCTGTAATTTCCCAAGCTGGTTTAGTTGAAGGCATTTCACTGCCAGCTTTCCCAGGCTGCAGACACTTCTGTGCCGTGGGCTCAGGGGTGTGTGTGGGTGTTCTCTGGTGCTTTTGCAGACATCCCTCAAGCCCACCAAGGTGTGAGAATCAGAGCCATTTGCCACATGTTCATTCCCCACCTCTGCAGTGTTTCCAGGGAGGTAACGCTGGAGGGCTGAAGTTCCCTACAAAGTTTTTGGAGACCCCACTTGGCCTTTCAAAGGCAGCAGCCAAATGCTGGTTTGTTCTTCTCAGGGACCCTGGAGACAGTCACACTGCAGAGATAACACTGTCAGATGCTGCAAAAGAAATTTGCACTACATCACCCAAATCTGCAGCCTTAAAGGCTTCCCTCTTGCTAAATTTACCTTTTCTCCTTCCTAAATTTACCTTTTCTCCTTCCTAGACAGTTTTTACCGAAAGCAGCTCTCTTATTTTTAGGCAGTTACTGCATCCATAATGTCATCACTGCCTGGATATTTCTTCTGGATATTAACTGCACAGCTTGGTCATTTGCCTCGGAATTGGTTTCATATAACAAAAGCTTTTTTTTTTTTAGGAGTCTAGACAGTGTCCCCAGTGAACTGGCACTTAAATGATGATCTAAAATCTCGCCCCAATCTACCAATAGCAAGATTTAGATGTCTCTCTCTCTCTCTTATATTTTAGCAGCCTTGGTTTAAGCTTTTGATGCAGAAGTGTATGATTTTTAAGCCAATATGGACTTTGCCTGAATTTCCTTGACAATGAGTGATTGCATCCCTCTCTCCTGCATGCCAAATTAATGGAGTTAGGCACAGCAGCTGGGATAATTTACTGAGTGCTACCACGACGGGGCTTACGGGAAGCAAAAGCAGCATCAACGTAAAATGCTGGGTTTAGCCAGGGAAGAGATGTTAATTGCCCTCTGGAAGGATGGTGCCAATCACGCAGCTTTCCCAGGGGAGCACTTAAGCTCTCGTGCTCCTGGGGAGATACCAGGCTACCCCCTGGGAAAGCTTTGCTATTCAGCTGATTTCTTGGCTGATTTGGAGTTTCAGAAATTGGGGTTATTTCTGGACAGGTGTTGGAGGCATCGTTGGATTCAAGGCCAGGTTGGACAGGGTTTGGAGCAACCTGGTCTAGTGGAAGGTGTCACAGGGGGTGAGTTTTAAGGTCCCTTCCAACCCAAACCATTCTGTGATGATTCCACGATTTCTCGCTCTGGGTTTCTCCCCCAGCCCGGTTTTTAGGGTGATGTGCAAAGGTCTCAGCCGGTCTCTGCTGTTTTCTAACCCCCCTGTGTTCCCGTTGCTCGCCCAGGTCTGGTACATGGACAGCTACCACAACAACCGCTTCGTGCGCGAGTACAAATCCATGGCAGATTTCATGAACACTGACAACTTTACCTCCCACCGCCTCCCTCACCCGTGGTCGGGCACCGGTCAAGTGGTCTACAACGGCTCTATTTACTTCAACAAATACCAAAGCCACATAATTATCAGGTTTGACTTGAAAACAGAGACCATCCTCAAGACCCGCAGCCTGGATTATGCCGGCTACAACAACATGTACCACTACGCCTGGGGCGGCCACTCAGACATTGACCTCATGGTGGACGAGAACGGGCTGTGGGCCGTCTACGCCACCAACCAGAACGCGGGGAACATCGTCATCAGCAAGCTGGACCCCAACACCCTGCAGAGCCTGCAGACCTGGAACACCAGCTACCCGAAGCGCAGCGCCGGGGAGGCCTTCATCATCTGCGGCACCCTCTACGTCACCAACGGCTACTCGGGGGGCACCAAGGTGCACTACGCCTACCAGACCAACGCCTCCACCTACGAGTACATCGACATCCCCTTCCAGAACAAGTACTCCCACATTTCCATGTTGGACTACAACCCCAAGGATCGGGCTCTCTACGCCTGGAACAACGGGCACCAGATACTTTACAACGTCACCCTCTTCCACGTCATCCGCTCCGACGAGTTGTAGTCCCGCCCCTTGTTTAGAGACCGGTTTAGAAAAAAAGAAAAAAAAATTAAATAAATGAAATAAACGTGAAAAGGATTAAAAAAGAAAAAAAAAAAGGGGAGAAACTTAATTTAAAAAAAAAAAAAAAGCTAATAAGGAAACACACTTTAAATAAGTAAATATATAAACAGCTGCCAAAATTAAGACCAACGTCATGGAGGATAATTCAGCATAAACCTGACAGATCAGCATTACCTCTACATTTCTAGAAGTCTGGCTCTGTGTTATAGACTAACGAGTCACCATGTACTTGCAGCTGGAACTGCACTCAGAGAACCACTTAAGTTTGGGGTTTTGTTTTGTTTCTGTTCTGATAGCAAACCTATAGTACATACTAAAGCAGTAAGGCAATGACTGTTGGAAGTTTATCCTTGGGAGACTCGCTCTCTTCTGTGTGTGGGTTGCATGGACATTCCCCCGGCGTCACGGTCAGCTGTGATGGATGTGTGATTTGTATTTTTAAGCAGAAAAAGCTGACCCGTGAGGAGCTCTCGCTGTCTGAACAAGACCTATCACAGGTTAGTTTTCTTCGCCTTCCATTGCAGCTACTGTCTCTCTCAACTGTGTTCTTGTCACTTAGATTAACTGTGCTGAGACCCGAAGTAGCTCATGGATCTGTGTCTTAGTAACTATTAAACACGATGGTTTAAGTATGTATTATGAACAAGTTGTTGTACCCATATTGTTTGAACTTATGTATTCAGCAAATATATTGTATAATGTATGTCTGTTATTTACCAGAGGTGGCAAAACTTTGTATGTCCAGTTTATGCAATGAATGTTGTAAATGCAATGATGTAGTTTGGATTAATAAATGATGGTTTTTGTTTCTAAAAAGAAAAAAAAAAAAGATCAGTGTTCACCCTTATACACAGATAACCAATTTCATGTTGATAATTACGAGAATATTCTCTTACTGTTATACTATCTACATAGCATTATGGTGGTTGGAAATTGCTTCTGTGGAAATTCTGTGGCAGCAGATTCCCATGGGAAGCTTTGTTTATGGAAGTGTGAAGGTAATTAATTTTTTTTAAGAGGAAAACTTTGTACTATCCACAGTTATCTAAGGAACAATAAAAATATTAGGAGACTTCCCTGCTTTGTTTATTGTCTTCTCTGTACGAGTGAGCGAGTGCAGGGGAGGGATAACAGGAGTTATTGTGGGGTTTTCTGGGTAAATGTTGAACAGCCATCCTGAATTTCCTTCCAGGGAGTATTGCTGCTGCTGGGAGCTGGAGGGGCTGGGAGAATGGAGGGTTTGTCTCTCTGCTTTAGAGATTCCCTTTCTGTTTGCATTTGGAGCAGACATGGCCTCAAGGAGCTAAAATCCTGCTCTGCTCCTGCAGCTGCATCACTGTTGGTGCTGTGGACAGGGGTCCACCCACCCCAGGACTGACAGTGTTTGGTGTTGGTGCCTCAACAGGAGGAAATGGTGTCACCTGTTACCTTCACTGGAGCTGGAGACACAGTGCCTTGGACCGCTGAGGGCAACTGGATCATTTCCCTTCTCGGATGCTTGGAGTGCCCCCCGTCCTGAACTCACCGCGGGCTCGTGCAGGTAAAAATGTCCTTCCATTCAATGTAGCCAGCACTTAAAATGAGTGACTGTCACTGCTGGGGTGTGAGCACCCAACACAACCCTTCCCCCTGGTTTGGCCAAAGCAGGGCCCTCGCAGCCCTGCAGGATGCAGCAGTGCAGCAGCACACACCCTGAAACCATCCCAGGCACTTTCCCAGCTGAACTCTCTGACATTTCTTGATACTTTGAAGCTTAAGACACTGTATGTTAATATGTCCCTCCCAACCACCTTTGATGACTCCTGCACTTCCCTGCTCTCCCCTTACACCCTTCCACAGTATGTTGTCACCAGGACAGGGCTTGTTTTACTGGGAACCCAGCACCACCAGCAACTTCATTCTACTGCCACTGTCTGGGGTGAGATGGGGGGTCCCACCTCCCTCTGGCGTGAGATGTGGGGTCTTATCCCTCCCCTCCACCTCAATGAGAGCATTGTTTAGCAATTCCCACACCACAGCCAGCTCCAGGTGAAGGGACAGGACTTTTCCTCCCCCTCACTGCCCACCCAGGGAGCCCCTTGAGCTGGATCTGGGGTAACTGGTACCAGTGCAAGCTGCAAAGGGCTCTCTGGTGCATCACCAGACCCTCGTTGTCTCCTTTCCACACAGAGCAGCAAGTGACCGTGTTTAGCACCACCAGAGAACCTGATTTTTCAGCCACATGGCCTGATGATGCTCAGCCTTCAGACTCGTCAGACGGATGCACGAGGGCCCCTGGAAGGAGCCTGGATCACCAAGGTCAGGAAATTGAATATAAGCAATTGGTGTTTGCTGCAAACTGCACATACTCATTTCAACCTCTTGGCCTTTGTTGCAGTTCCCTGCTGGGCTCTTCAACGGGAGGAGGGAAAGGAAAAAAAAAAAAAGAGTGGTGTAATGTGGTTTCTCAGAGCTGGATTAAACCACAAGCAAGGAGCAATCCTCCACACGTAGATGTCTGAGGCAGTTACACAGGGCTGAGCTGCTGCCCTGTGTCAGCACTGCTGCTCTCACTGAAGTGCTGGCTGAATGCAGAATGGGGACAGCTCTCTGAGGACTTGTTTCCCTGCTACACGCTGTATTTCCAGCCAGGTTTGTGGAGAACTTCGATATTTAGCAGTGGTTTTCCCCCCAGGAAGCTAAAAAAGGGGGCTGGAGCCCCACGGTGTAATTGGCAGAAATACTGATCTTTGGTAGGCAAGAGAAATCTGTTATGCCAAAAAGCAGGAAGGCACCTGCAGTAATTTCTATTTACTTAATGTATTTCTTCAGAGCAAACTCATTGAAGGGCAGCATGGGTTTTTTTGTAAGGTTTAGAGCTGGATCCAGCAACGCTGCAATTAGTGGGATGGAAGCTGATGCTGACACCAGGGCTGGGCTTGGCTGAGCCAGCTCCTGCCCAGCTCCTCAAGAGCTTCAGGGTGATTCCCATGCACAGCCTTGCCATGGATGTGAATCCTGGCTGGACCACGCACTGAATTGCTTTTTGGTGTAGATTATTGCCCCAGCAGCTGGGCTCGGTGTCCTCTGTCCTGGGAGATGTGTTAATGACCCTGAACACCAGACAGTTCTTCTCTAAGACCTCTGCAGGTGTTCACAGAGTTTGTCCCAGCCAATCTGTCCAGCTTGGGGGAGATGTTTCAGGTAGACCACCACAGCACATGGCAGGGCACCACCTGAATCTGTCAGCAACCCGTCCAGGCACACTGCCACACACACACACAAATTACCCAAAGTCAGCTTGGTCATTAGGCCAGATTTGAGGACAAAAGAACACGTTTGCTTCAAAACATTGATCGGCAAAAATAAATCGAATTACAGAAAGGCAAAATAATGCTGTTTGCTTTAGGGCACAGCTACATTTAGATTCTAATTTTCCTAGTGCAATTCATTTAAGATAAGACTCCACAGCACAAAATGTCCTTGAACACAACAAAGACAGAGCAGCTTCTCTGTAACATGTACCCAAAGTTAATGAGATGAGAAAAGTGCTTTAAGGGGTGTACCTTTGTCCTATTTGCCTGTAGTGCAATATTCTATAAATGGATGCCATATGGTCATATACTTAATGGTATGTATTACTTTGGAAGTGGATGAGCCACTCAAAGGCAAGTACGTCCCAGAGGATTGCTTTCTATAGCCTATGACTTAATTATTTGATGCACGAGGATTGTTGGTCCAAATTTAGTTCTGGGAGTCAGCGAGCTACTTCAGAGAAACATCTGACCATACTTCTGTGTGTGTGTTTAGGTGTTGTTAATATTTCACAAGGCATTAATCTGAAAGCACTGTGCTGGGGATTCGTGAGGGTCTGGTGCAGAAGACAGGTCCTGCTCCCAGCCCCACCAGCCGTGCCAGTCCCGGCTCCATGGCTGAGACAGATGTGATTGAGAGGGACTTCTTACAAGGACATGGAGGGACAGGGCAATGGGGAATGGATTTAAACTGAAATGGCGGCAATTTAGATTAAATATTAGGAAGAAATTCTTCCCTGTGAGGGTGGGGAGGCCCTGGCACAGGTTGCCCAGAGAAGCTGTGGCTGCTCCATCCCTGGAAGTGTTCAAGGCCAGTTTGGACAAAGATTGGAGCAACCTGGGATAGTGGAAGGTGTCTCTACCCGTGGCAGGGGGTGGGACTGAATGACCCTTAAGGTCCCTTCCAACCCAAACCATTCTATGATTTAATTTTGCCTGTCATTCCATTGCTGTCCTTCATCCTGTGACTCAGATGGACCAATGCTCTCCAGCTGGTTCACACCTGCCTTGGGATGACAGGGGTACCTGATGGGATTTGCTCTCATTCTGCAGTTCACCTTTTCTACCCTTGGCTCTGATACAACTCCCTTCCCTGGAGCCCTCATGCCCATCCCAGGGGATGCCTGGATAGCTTTTGGGCAGGGTAGGACACGAATGCAGCACAGATGTTTGTCTGCCCAGCTCAGACACAGCCACCACAACTCCCTGCACCTCATCACTGGGATACTTGTGCCATTCTCCAGGCCATGCTTATCCACAGGTGTAACTGGTTCTGTGTGCAGGGTAGAGCCTGACCCGTGGAAACTGGAGCTCATCCTTCCCCCACCAGTGGGGAGGCCCACAGGAACAGCAGTGGGCTGTGAAATGCAGCTTTGGGCTGTGAAATGCAGCTCAGAACTTCAAGAGCACTTACACAGACTGTCCCATGAATTAAATGAAGCTCACTCAGCACCTGGCCTAAAACCCAGGCAGAAATACTGGCTGTTGCTTAGCATCATCACAGCACCGAGAGCTAAAAATTTTCCTTTCTTCCTTTGCTGTTACTTCCCTGACCTTCATTAGTTCTGCAAGCACCGAGTGCTGAGCCCATATGGAGACAGTTATCATAAAAAACTGAATCCTGGCCCCTTAATTAGCTCCTCATTATCGGAGAGCTCCATACTGAAGCATTAAGAACTTCCGAAGCAATTTGTTGAGTTTCCAATTAAAACTTTTTAGAATTGTTGAGCCTTTTAATACTTTGTGTTTACAAATTGCCTTGGACCTCCACCAATACACACATTTCCTTCACTGGGGAAATATAACCGAGGAGCTGATGGTTATTAATATAAAATCCTTGGGTTTAATAAAGCCATAAACCATGTCAGTGAAGCTGCTCTTTTTATACCTGATACAATAGAGATGGCTCTGAACGAGTGTAGAGGAGTTAGAATCATTAAGAGGGCAATTAAAGGCTGATTTCCTAGTAGCTCCACTTTTATAGCACTGTAAAAACAAATGTACACATCCCTCTTTATATTAATTTACCTTGGATATGCTCCTGCCAGCTGACAGGTACCAAGACCCTCCGTTTCAGCACATTGCAGGATCGGGACCATCATGAATAAATAAAAGCCAGATGGGCATGGATTATATTCACGGTATCACACAAGCTGTGAGCTGGAGGAGTGCAGCTACCAGATATGAACACAGAAGAAAAATGGGTCTCCTATGAAGCATGGAACTGCACAGGCTTCCCCTGGGTTCCTCAGGTGAATCTGTGGCCTGATCTACTGTGGTGGCCAAAAAAAATGGGGAGGTGGGAGGGCCTCTTGACAAGCCCAGGGATGGGCTCTTCCTAAAATCTGCAGAGCCAACGTGAAGCAAGGGGAGCAGCAACGTCTCTGCTGACCTGGAGAGGGATTAAATGATTTGTTTAAAACCTCTTAAACATGGTTCCCAAGCCATTTGGAAAGAATGGTCACCTTCACACTGCATCCAAGGAGCATAAAGGAGGGATGCAGTTGTTTGAAGCAGAACAGCCCTCAGAGCTTTAACTAACCCCCAACGGCTTCTTCCTCCTGTAAAACAGTCCCAGGTCCTCCAGGAAGAGTAAGTTCATGGCTGTTAGGAGTCTGTTGTGTACCATCACAGGAGGACATGTACCACCAAGGGAAGTGGCTTTGGTGTGTGGCAGATCTGTGCAAGCAATGACAAACAGCCCTGACACGACCTGAGCTGGGACTTTGTTCTCAGCCTGTGCCGAGGACTTGTGATGATACAGTACTTATGTTCTTGGGGACGTTGTAAAGCCATGAGCTGATATCTATTGAACATGTCATTTGTATTCCCACGCTGGTTTTTAAGCAAATCTGTCAAATAAAACCAAAAAAAGAATGAGAAGAGGAATGCAAGGGAGGGATTACATAAGGAATTGGCTGCGCTGGCAGCCGTGGTCACTCCGGGTGCTGGTGAGTCCGTGGCTCTGGTGTCCTCTGAGAGGAGGGAGAAATGTCCCTCAGAAGCAGGTCTGGAACAGGGATCAGCATCCCAGACCACCTGCTGGGACCCCAGCAGGGGCTCAGGGCCATAGGTTTGGCCATAGTCTGCTGCTTCCCTCCTGGTCCTCAGCATCCTCCCAGCTCTGGGGCTGCTTTGCAGTGGATCAGCTCCCTCTCAACAAACAAGCTCTCAGCTCCTTCCCACCCTCCTGCTGGCTTTTTGATCTGGCTTTTAAAGACATCATTACTTTTCAGGATAATTTTTTCGTTTGGCCCATTTTGGCACTTTCTGAGCAGCCAGCTACTGAAAAAGAAGGTGTCTTCAGGCAGATCAGCAACGTGGGTCCTTCCTCAAACGCTCACAGTGAGCCCCCAGCACCACAGGCAAGGGACCTTGGGGAGAGGAAACATAAATCTGCCATCTGTGGCAATTTAGCATTTACCAGTCATATTGCACCAGGGCACTGTCACTTTGAATGAATGTAAAAGCACTTCCTCTGCATGGCCTGAACAGTCTCCCTTTCCCATCAAATTGGCCATGGCATGCTGTAATAAAATAGACATACTGAGGCTGCAAAGGGTCACTCGGGGGGGGCTGGCATTAACTCAGGGAGGTCCCCTTTTGAAGAAGGCATTCAATTAAAGTTTTATTGCAATTCTGCAGTGTGAAGCCGCAAGGAGGAGGCTCAGTAGCTGTGCTGGGATTTTAAATTAGCAGCTGAGTAGGAATTTGCCAGTGATCCTGGGCGTGAGCAGCAGAGAGTCAACTGTGCTCCACTGCAGGAGCAACATCCAGGGAAAATACAGTGGTGGAACTGTGCACTTGGCTTGGCTTTGTATGACTTGCAGGATGAGCAAGGAATAGCGTGGGATCAACTGGGAGCAAACATTGTGGAAGGATGAAAGGATCTGCCATGGTGAGAGGCACAAGGGGTGGCTCTGGGAGCTGGGGCTCAGCCAGCGCTTTGGAAGATGAGATTTGGGTGAGTCCTGCAATCCAGGAGGAGTTTGCCTGAAGAAAAGGTGTTAGGTTAGGCCCACTGCCTTTGAGCACAAATATTTGTGCTCTCCAACAAGATTTCCTCTTGCAAACAGCACTTGAGAGCTGGCAGCCTTCAGCCAGCAGCAGAGAAACGCTTCCAGACTCCCACCTTTCCTATCAGTTATGTCATTTCCCCTGAAAAATCTGGAAGAGTCAGCACATCTCATGGATGCAGCAGTGTCCAGAGGTATTTGGGATTTGCAGTGAATGGAGGCAAACAGGGATGTGATCCTCTGATACAGTGATGATGGAGATGATCATACCAGGCCAGGTGTGTGCCTGTCTTCTTGCTGGACACAGGGCTGGGTGCTGGCTCTCCTCTGCACATTTTAGGATCCCTGGCCAGGAAATCAGCCTCAGGAAATGCAGGGCATTGTGCAGGAGGAGATCCCCGAGTCGTGGACATGTTAAGGACACAGGTTTGCATGGATGCTCAGGTGCAGGGCTTTGGAGCACAGCCCTCGCCACTGCAATGCCAGAGGAGGGTGAACTGCTGCAAAGGAGCAGGGCTCTGTGCCCAGCTTTCAGCCATAACACTCGCTTTCAAAAACTCAATCAAGCGGTGTTTTGCACAGGAAAAACTGTCAGACGTTTAATTACCAGCCATCGTTACTGCGTTACCATAATGTGAGCGAATCGGCGCTGCTCTGCCACCGCCAGATGTTCACACTCCGGCTCGTTACAGCGGTGATGAGCTCGGTGCTTGATGAGCTCGGTGCTGCCCGGTCCCGGCTGGGAGCCAGGGCCAGCAGCCCCTGCCTGGGGCACGCACAAAGCCGGGATAAAGAGCTGTAAAGTGTTCCAGCCTTCGGCGTAAAAATAGCCTGTGCAGTTAAAGCAGATGGGCTAAAAACCTGCGGAAGGGCAATCAGCCCTCACGCACCAGGGCTCATGAGGCTTGTCAGCTAAGGGTCAGGAAGAAATTTGTCCTGGGGGTGATGGTATCTAATGGACTGTGTTAGGAGCTGAAATGCTCGGCTGAGAACATGCTGCTGGAAAACAGGCTGCCAGACCTGACAGTCCACAGCGTTGCTCTGCTACGTTTTTGTATTTTAAATATTAAATGCTGTGTTAATGTTGTGGTTGCCACCTGGTAAGTCAACATCGCAGGTCCTCTGGCAGGTCGAACACCCACCTCGAGCGCTGCAGAAAAGTGCTGGGGGTCGGCGTGGTTTGGGCTGGGTTTGGTTTCATGGAATCACAGAATGGTTTGGGTTGGAAGGGAGGTTAAAGACCCTCTCATTCCAATCCCCCTGATGTGGGCAGGGCCAACAGGTTGCTCCAAGCTCCACCCAGCCTGGCCATTTGCAGCTCACACTCGGTGAGGGCATAAAATGGGTGGTGGCCCATTATTTCCCCAAAATGCTGATGAAAGGAATAGAGGCACGTCCCGGGGGATGGGCCACCAATGGCTTGGGAACACACCCAGTGATGTCCCTCAGCGAAGAACAAGAACTGCAAGTAAGTGGAGGGGAGAAAAAGTACAAAACCAGGGAACTTGGATCACTTTATCCCATAGCAACAAGCCCATTCAACAGGAGGAGCGTGTTCACAGCAGAGCCCTAAAAAAAGGAGCTGTTAAAATAAACATTGGCATATCTCACACCTCCCTCTTCCCTGAAGGATGCTCCCTGGAAGCACATGTGGACAAACTAGGGAAGGGAAGAGAAGGAAAATAGTCATGAAGGGGAAGATTAGAGGTATTCTAATTAAGTGCTGAAATTAATCTCTGTTTCTTTCACTTTCTAACATGTTTAATTGTTCAGGTGTCTCTGTTGTTCACTGATGAATCCAGCAGCCTCTTTCAGAGCAGCTGGTCATATTATTCCTTTGCTTAACCATAGCATAAAAAACCCCAGGAGTTTCCTGTGAAGCTTTTGCCCTACATATCACATGTCATATTTTAGGCAGGTAACAAAGAGGCCCTGTAACCTCTCTGTGAGCACCCTTCTTACACCACCTTCAAGGTGGACAGGTGGTTTCAGGGGGGTTTTCCCTGCTTTTTTTCTGTGTTATCTTGTTATGTGGAAGGATAAAAATATCCCATCTTTCTTCTACAAACCGAAATAAGATTCCTAGAGCCTTTACAAGCTTGTGTTGCCCCTGCTCAGGACCTCCTGGGGTGGATGCTCTGAGCAACAAAGGTCTCTGCTGTGGGTAATCCACATCCCTTCACTCTGGGCATGCAGCCCCTCACAGGTAGAGCTGGGAGGGTGCACCTGCCTCTTGGGAACCCCCAAATTTCCTACATGCATGCAGATATCACACAGTGCCATCAAATTGCCTCCAGTGACACCACAGAGCCGAGCAGAGTCACATATGTACGTGCTGCTCTCAGGGGAAATCCAGGCCAATGTGATTTTACAGTCAGCATCACTTTGCATTTCCATTCCTTCCTCTTTTCCCTCTTCTTGTTTTTATCTTTGCATCACAGGAGGCCAAAACACCAACGTGTCACCGTCACCGCAGAGCAGCTGAAAATGTGACATGATTAGAGATCAGGGCAGTAATGAGACAGTTTATCTTCCCCACACATATGGCACTGGGTGAGCCACTGGGAAATAAAAAAAGCTTCGATAAATCATATTGTCCCTGCCATGGAAGCAATAACACCAGCAACCCCAGGAAGAGGGAGAAGTTTGCTCTGACACCCATTCCCAAGGTGTCCTGGCTGCAAGCCTGGCACTTGGAGGCCTCATTCCTATTGAATTCATTCCTGTGCTGGAGTTTGGACTGTTCTTTTATTATTTTAGGAGCTTTTACCCCGGGGAGCTGTTTGACTCCATAATGGGGTTGTTTGCTTGAGGAAGGCTGGTTTGTAAGGGGAGGCAACACGTGCAGTGCAAGGCTAGCCAAGCTTTTCCTTGCTAAATCACCATTTCTCACTGAAAATACAGATGCAAGAGACTTTATCCAAGCCCTAAATCCAACTGCTTTGGAGGAGCACCGAGCTGGGCTTGACGAGGAGATGGGAGCAGGGTGGTTTGTAACCTCCACCCCATCCCACCAGGTACTGCTGGGGGATGGCACAGCTCTCTCTGCCCCTCCAGCAGATCCAACTCTGCAGGACAGACCTCCAGCCAAAAGCTGCAGGTTGGACATTCCACCTGCTCTTGCATAATCAATTACTGGGGCTGAAGAAAAGAAACTCATAACGACTTCCCACTCACACATCGAACCCCCTACAAATGGCTTCTTGCCCTGGTGGAACAGAATATTGTGAGAGCGCCAGAAATAGGTAGCAATCAGATAATGCTGCAACCCACTCCCATCTGCCATCAGAGAAAAAAATCCTGCCCAAGTGAAAGCAAGGAAGAGCCGGGAGGAATCGCCGAGTCCCGCACTGTGCCCTGGGCATCAGCACCTGCTTCGTGTTCCACACTCTGCCCTTGGAATGGGATGGGCAGCACTTTTTCCCGAGCCAGGAGGAACTGCTGGTTGCAAATGAAAGCGCTGGAATGCTGGAAAGACATCTGGCTGACAGAGCCATGCGTTTCCTTTATAATGTGATGTTGGCAACGTTATATGAAAACATTGATGAAAAATGAAGCCAGGCACTGGGGGAAATGTGTAAAACTTTGTGGTTCAGTCTTGCATCACTTTGAGCATGACCGAGCGGGTTCAGTGTGTAAAACAGCAAGGGACCAGTTCTGCTGCTGGAAAAAAAATCAGCAAAAATGTGGGGGCTCTGCCCATGCACCAGCTCCTCCACTGGGTGATGGACCAGCCTTGGAGTCCTGCTTGGGGGAGCTGGGACATCAACCCATGGCTTGATGCAGACCAACACCTCTCAGGACCCAAATGTCCCCAGGTTGCATCGTGTCCAGATCCTTAGGGTGGCACAGGTAACCTGCCCAATTGAGCTGGGTGGGGTTGGATTGGGCTAAGCAAGGGTGAGGATACCCCCATCACATCCCTGAGCTTGCAGGTGCTTATCTGGGCTTGCTAATGGGGTGTTGGATAAATGACTTCAGCTCTGCTAAGAGGAGAGTTTGCAGAACTGTCTCAGAGGACACCTTGTTTGTGCTGAAAGGTGAGAGCAATCCCCTGGGGGCTGGAGGGTTTGGGATTTGGGGTGGCAGGCAGGACTGGAGGGGGAACCAGCCTCTGCTGGGATATGTGGCTAAAGGAAGGGAAAAAATTAATCACAAGAATCCTTTTCATCAGTTTTCTTTGGCTCTTCTGCCTGGCAGCTTTTGGCAACAGCTGATCTATGGTGGGTCCTCAGGACTGAGGCAGGACCAGTTCCACTCATGCCCCTGCTCTCTGCCCTGAGAGAGACCATCATTCCTGAGAATGTGTTGGGGCTTGGATTTCTTCATCCTGAGTCGTTACTGAAAGGACACCCTTGCTTTTAACCTCTGTGGCAGAGTTATCAAAGATGAATTGAGGAAATGCAGCCCTGGAGGCTTTGGGCCGGGGTCCTGGGCCAGGGGGAGTGCAGCCCCCCTTCCCCTGCTATGGGTTTTTGGAATGATGGGGATGTGAGTTGCTGAGGAGCCAGTCCTGAGCAGAGACCTTGTATATGTACAGAGAGTGCTGATTCATCTCACTGCCACTTGAGACAAAAGAACATCTAATTAAGTCACCCGCGTATAAATAAATGTACAAGGTCCAACCTCGGGAGCACAGAACAGCACTGGAAAACCTCAGCAATGCACAATATGCTTTTCCTCTCTCTGGCAGGGCTGGAGCTCACATCTGGGACTACCCCTTTCTTTAGAAATACCGAAGAATGGGATAATTTTTTTTGTTGTTTTGACAGTATTAGTTTTTACATCAGAGTTAGGTGATTTTCTCTTTCCCCGCAGTTCAGCTGTGTCTCAGGTACACCGAGGCTTTGATAACCCTCCAAATCGAACTCAGAGCAGGGTCCACTTTCCAGCTCGATCAAAGGGTGCATGGGGTCCATATGTCTTTTTGGAAGAGAGTGAAAAACAACAGCAAGACCAAGAATAACAGTAAGCAAGTAATTGCTGGTGCTGCTCTAATTACCAGCACCCGCTGCACTAATGGCCGAGCTGATGCTCCTGCAGCTGCGGGACACGGCCCCAGGCTCCACGTTTTAATTAACCTCATTAAAGAGGCTTTGCATTTTGCTCAGGAAGTGGAGAGTTCTGGCTTAGTGCTTCGGTGGGAGTGAGGAGTCGGCTAACAAGAGCTCAGAGTTGGGAAGTATTTAGCTTTTTTTTTTTTTTTTCCCCTGAAATCCACAGCTTTGGGATGTGGCTGTGGGAGTTCCCTCTGCCCTGTTCCCCGGCATCTTCCCAGGATTTGCAAACTGCTGGTGTTTGCTTGACACTTTCTCCCCCTGAGCAAGCAGCTGAGCAGTTCCTGGCTGCTGGACACACAAAACCATCACCTCTTCCCTGTGGAAGTCTTTACCATAAAACTACTGATCATTATTTTTATGGCCCTTTTCCTCCTCGAGCTCTTGCTGTTAACACGCCAAAAGAGCCCTTTGTTGTGTTTTGAGGCAATTTGTTTTGATGGCATAACGAGGTTGATAAATTACCACCTTGGCCGGGAGCTTTGGGTGTTTGTGAGAGAAGAAATCCCTCGGTGTCTCTTCCTTGTGCACACTCATTAGAGCTTTTACAGTGCCCTCAGGCAAACACAAGTCAAGGGTAAAAATAGGAAGGTGTCCCCGCCCATGGCAGGGGAGTGGAATGAGAAGATCTTTAAGGTCATAATTCCAACCCAAATTATTCCATGATAATGGGAAGAGTACTTGCCACCCTGGTGGCTGTGCCCAGGAAGAGGTGACTGGCCCTTGCTGGAGGCAGTGAGCTGATGCGGGGTGACCTTGCCTGCCAAGAACCATATTTTTGAGGCAGCAAAGCACTAATCATCCCCAGTAGTCTGAGTGATTAAAAGTGAGAAGATCTGAAAGTTCCTGCAAGTGAGTAATAATAACATCTCCCTCCCTCTGCTCCAAACAGTGGGCTGGGAGATTATAATTAAATCCATAATCTATGCACACACCCTGCTGCTTTCCTCTGCTTGATGCTTTTTGGAGGTGATGCTGCTCCAGCCCACGTCCCAGGCCCATGCTGGCTGTGCAGGAGTTTTCACTGTCCCAGTCTCAGAGGCATCTGCCTAATTGCACCAGCAACGTGGGTTTTTTTTTAACGTGCTTTCCTGCATTGCCTCCATCTGATAAGGTCAAACCCACCTTGAGGACAGCTGCTCTGCTGGCTGCTCTGGCTTTGCCTCTTTGGGATCCACGGAGGACAGAGCTGCTCTGACCTTTTCCATAAACCTGCTTAAAGGTGACCAAGAAATACACATAATGTATTTCCCAGAGCAGTTTGGAGGAAGTGCCTGTGGCGTATTTTATTTGTCGTTACAACCTTCTCAAAGAATCACTCACAAGGTAGGAGGGCACCTGGCTGATTTTCATGCAAAAATCAAGATAAGTAGAGATAGGCTACCTTCAGGGCAAACATCCCTGGCTAAAATTGGAATTGAAATTTTAGGGCCAGGAAATGGAAGGACAGAAACAGCAATCAGCCTGCTCTGGGGTCTTCGGCAAGGCTGGTTTTTCTTTTATCTGTTTATTTATTTTTTAAGTTGGGACTGACACTGCTGAAGACATGAAAAATTAAACCAGATTTTCGAATGGGTCCTTGCAAGGCCATTCCTGTGATATGGTGGAGGTTTCCATGGGCTTGGTCATGGTACAAATGTGAGGTCAGGAGCTACAAAAGGCCCCAAGGAGGTCCCAGCTCAGCACCGACTTGGCTGCTGGTGCAAACCATGGCCACCAACACCATGAGCTCAAATGCCATTCTGCAAGGGAGAAACCAGATTTGGGCACTGGTGACTGCAGAGAGCTACACTTGACCCATTTTCCTCTGGCTGATGGATACAGGGACTGGTAAAAGCTCCATAGCAACTGGATGTGCACAGTTTAATTATGAAATCCCCATGGTGCTCCCTTGCAAAGATAAATGGATCTGGGATATTTTCCCCTCTTGCAACCATTAAAAAAAAAAGCTCTATATTTAGAAGGTCCTGTTCCACTTTGCTGTGTGCCAAGCAGCAGCACAGCTTGAGGAAGGACAATGCTTTGGATGAGTACGTTTAGGTCAACACATGGCACGTCCTTCCAGGAAGGTTTGTGAGCCTGAGGAGTCTGGTTGTCATCCTGTGGTGCTTTGGGTGCTCATCTTCTCCCAGGCAAAGCCAGTGCCAGGCATTTCACACTCATTTGACCCCAGTGCAACACCAGGTATAATGGATAACCCAATAACCCCATCCCAGGCTTTAATCCCAAATGGGGGGCAAATCCAGCAGTGGTGTTGGATCAGTGAGTATCACCTGTAAAAGATTTCAGAAAGACAAGGCAATAGCAGAACTCTATTATTGAGACTATTTTGGGTTCTTTCCTATTTGTCTTTTTTTCAAGCTCTTCACAACAGCTCAGGTCAGCTCTTATTACAGTCAGCTGTCCCTCCTGTCCCCTGGCACAGAGTATTGAGACACAGACAGTGAGAACTTTTAGATGGCACAATAAATAAAATAGATGCTATTATTACAGCACTGGCCTGTTTTCTGCTGCCATGGTATCTCTTCTCTTGTCTGACTTATTGCTGATGTCTTCTGTCAGCCCAGCTTGCCTTTCTTGGTTATATGATTTATGGTCCAGGGAGACAGAGCAGAAACATGTGAAAATTGCAAATGAGGGTGCTGGGAGGAGCACAGGAGAAAGACAGGGAGGGGTTGTGATGAGGGTGTGCAAATGGGTCCTGCTCCCACTACCATCTGACAGGAGATGGGGTTTGGGACAGTGTGCTCAGACAACCGAGCAGCTTCGCTCCAGGGCTCCAGCTCACAACCTCCAAGCTGGGAGAGGTAAAACCTGGAGCAGAGACAGCAATCCCTGTCTCTTCCCCAGGTGAGCTTCCCAAGCTAGGTGTGAATGCCTCCAGTGGGGGTGACATCTCATCCTAAAGATCCAGGCAACAGCCACCACTGCCCAGATCCAGCAAGAGCACAACACCCAGCAGGCAGAGCCTCAACTGCTGCAAATTGCTCTTGTTCCTTCTGCTTCAAGGAGTTTGTCCTCATTCATATCCTTTCTCTGCAGCCAAGGTGGCTCAGGTGTAGGCAGGAGGGAAACCACAGGCTGCTCCTGCTTTGGGAAGCTGTCCTTGCTGTTGGTGGCTGCAGCTCAGCAGGATGATGCAATTTTCATTACCGTGGCTGAGGCTCGTGATAATTGAAAGCTGTTCCACTTGGTCCTGCAGCCTCCTCAAACTCCAGGCGCCTCTCACGCATCCCTCCTGCTGCCAACCCAAAACCTGGGAGGAATGTTAAGTGTCAAACAAACAGACACTGATTTTTGGAGCCTTTCATTGCACCCTCTGTGAGAGCAGGGCTCGGGAAGGGGGCTCAGCGTCTCTGGGGTGTGGGGGACCCTGCTGGCACCCCCTCTTGCAGGGTAAGTCCAGGTGTGTGAGCGAGAATTTGCGTGCTGTGGGGAGGAGAGCAAGTCCAAAAGGTTCCC